CGAGCTGCGCACCAGCAGCGCTCCGCTTTGGGAACACGTCCTGCCTCTTCTCACACGTGTTGGCTTCGTGCTGTTCACCTGCACTGCAAGGAGAATCCTGTGCATTGAGGAGCGGGGTTTTGTGTCCCTGCTGGGAGCCCCTCTGGGTGCTCTTGTGTGCACCCACCTTGCTAAGCTGCGGAACTGGCTCCGGGGGGGCATGTTCCGTGTTCCAGGGCAGAACGTGTGCTGCTGCTGCCCCGCTCTGTGCCTGAGCAGCGGCTCTTTCCCGACTCGTGATGCCGAGACTGGGGTTACGTATTCACATCCTTTACCAGGGCATGGGCAGGCTCCCCACCCACCCCACGTCCTGTGTCCCTTCACAGGCTTCCATTCCACAATGGATCCCCAAGTACATGGAGTGTTCCTCCCAGCACTAAAACAACTGCAGCTGGTGCTGCCTTTGTATGACACTTTCTCCTGACAGTTTACAGCAACTACATTGTGATACTGGTGCTTATGGAGCAACAGAAACAGGGATCATTGGAAGCAGTTCAGGAGCTTTGGTCCTTCTTCACTGATCGTAAAGGGAGACTAGAGAGATTAGGCTTCTAATGTGGATGCCTGAATTAAGTGCCAAAGGATTAGATGGCATGAATCTGACCCCAGATGTCCCACTAGCCAGATGCTGAGTTAGCACTGAACTTGAACTGGACCATAGGGCTGTTCATGTGGTCCAAAAGCATTCTGGGGCTGCTGTCCTGTCCTACCTCAAGGCACATGGAGCTGCAGAATCCTTCCCAACCTTGCCTTCATAGACATTGATCTATCAAAGCCACACAGCCTGGAGAGATGTCGATGGGTTTTGTTCTTTTGTTAGTAATATACCCCAGAAGGTATCGCCAGTGTGCAGAACTGCAGCTCATCCTCAAGCTACAGAGGGTGGCAAAAAGCAGGGGACAGGGCTCCCTCATTGCCTCACGTGTGGCAACTGGTTTAAGCTGAGCGTGTGAGCAGGATGCATCAAGCAGGCCTCGTAGCTGGGCAATGAACAAGGGAGGGAAAGTCCCGTGTTTCAGGCCGTGTCCCTGGGTGCACGTCACCATCGCTGCTGTTTGACAGCGCTCCAGCAAGGCTCGTCACGTTAGAGGAGTGCCAAAGGGAGCGACTGCCCCTGATCCCCTGCAGCAGGGAGCAGCAGTCCTGAGAGCCACAGCGTGTCCTGTGGCCACCGAAACAGCGTTGAGACAGGGACAGCTCTGAGGGCATGGAGAACTGGGCGAGCAGCATTCCCCTTCCCATCCTGCGAGCACTGGCTTTTTACTCTGGCTTCTGCAGGCAGTGTGCAGGCAACCCCCCCCGACCAGCCCCTGTGTGCTTGTCTTCATTTCATTCTTTGCCTTACAGGATTTTTAGCAACTATCTAAATGTCTTCATTTCTTAATTACTATAAGTTCAGGAAAGCTGCTGGTTGGCATGGGGAGGGAGCCCAGAGGAACAGGACAAGGTGAATTAAACACCCACTATTCTTTGCTTGGGGGAGATTTTAAGCAGGGTTGACATCTTTATCCCTTCACTTGAGACAACTCAGGCAAAAGGAAGAGATACAAATCGGTGTTAAGCTGGGTGTTTCCTCCCTTTGATTGCTCTGAGTCACTCAACCTTCATGTTCTTCTCTTGATTCTTGGCAAGTGGCATGTCCAGTGGGGTGAACAGTTCAGCTGATAGCACCAAGGGTAGTTCTGCTTGTCCCAGTGACCATGGGTGCAAGGATCTCCAGCGGATGCTTCTCCTTGAGGCGCTGGCACAGGGTGCCCAGAGAAGCTGTGGCTGCCCCATCCCTGGCAGTGTTCAAGGCCAGGTTGGACACAGGGGCTTGGAGCAACCTGCTCTAGTGGAAGGTGTCCCTGCCCGGGGCAGGGGTTGGAGCTGGAGGAGCTTTAAGGTCCCTTCAACCCAAACCAGCCTGGGATTCTACGATATGGCTTGTATTCAGCTGTGGTTTAGATTCTTGTTGTCTGTGACCAGAGGTGTGTAGCTGCACTTTATCCCTGTCTTATTTACAAGCAGTGGGAGAATATCCTGCAAACTGTGAGCTGCTAATTTTAGGTATCAACATAGCTGAAGGTGCCAAGCCTTCCAAAAGGGGAAGGAATGTGTATCCAGCTAGGCTGCCTTAGCTCCGAGCTGCTCTGGGGCACTGGGTGTTTACAGCACTTCCAGTACATTCAGTCTTTTGTATGCAGACATAATCCTTTGTTGTGACATTTGTAGAGGTAGGAAACGATTGTGAAATCCCTTGTCTTATGGAAGAGGAGAAGGAGGCACATCTGAGGTGGTTTGCACTGTGCTAATGCTCTCCAGCCCCCAATCCCAAGGGCCTTTTATTCCATCTTCTATTTCCCAGCACACTCTGCTGGATGGGGCAGGGGCTGCACAGCACGATGCTTTTGGCATGTGCTCCTCGCTTTATGCTGGACCGAAGTAAGTAGAGATATCACAGAACCACAGCCTGGTTTGGGTTGGAAGAGACCTTAATGCTCATCCAGTTCCAACCCCTGCCACTAGACCAAGCCCTAACTCCAAGGCTCATCTTCATGTGCAGCACAGAGGATTCCCGTCTGATCCCCAACCTGCTGTCACACCCCGGCCAGCGAGGACTAAGAGTGCCCTCTGCTGCGCTCCTGCTCCTC